TATATATATATATATATATATATATATATATATATATATATATATATATATATATATATATATATTATATTGTATACCCGTCTCACCACTACACGAACCCTTATGCGGTTTCGGACAATACTACCTTCCCCTGCCTGTACTCTCGTACACGCTCCTCACGGAAGCGGCCATTCGGTAATTTCGTATTGACCATCTATAATTTGACTTTTATTATTCAACCAAGGAGACTCACTGTATGTCCCATCTGCGGAGCCTCAGGCATTTCCACCTTTTCACCATTTTTATTATATTTTATTCTCTCCCTTTGCTCTCTTTTTTTTTTCATTTTTTTTTACACGCACGGCCATTTTTTTCTTTTTCATTCTGTTATTCTTTTTAATGTCGCACTTTCTCCGGGTTTTTTTAAATCATCCACGAATGTCTTATTCATACTATCGAACGTTACATTTCCGTTTCCGGTTTTACGATCGAATTCCTTTTCAGCTACGGATCCAGTCTCTCGTTGCCTTTTATAGTATTTATCGTGTATTATCGGGCACTATTTATCGTCTACTTTCACTAGTCGCTTTTGTAACGTTAACCGAATGTTTTCTTCTTCTTTTTATCTCTTAGTTTTTGTTTTTTTATTTTCCTTTTTTTTTAATCACGTTTCGCTCACTCTACCAGTTATGCCAGAAGTGTATCGTGATTTGCTATTCGCGTAACAATTAACCGCTTCCACTGTAATTATATTATTACGGGACTGGCCAATATCGTTTATTAATGAGTCGTATTATAGTCCGCGCATTATAGTACAGCAGGAGAGAATTGAACGGGACACGATGGGCTACCATAAGGAAGGTAGCAGTAGTAGGATATAAAAAAGAAGAGAAAGTTATAAGTGCGGTTGCTCAGCTACTACGAGCTGTAATTATTAATTTTATGATTTAATTATCGATAGATTTAGTCAATGTCTTCAGCTAAACTTCATCCTGCTTCATTCTCATTTGTTCTCGGAGAAAACTATGATCAATCAATCCCCACCACGTCCAACGATCCCATTCTGTCGTTATAATGAAAAGAGAATTTTAGAATTTCCAATTGCAATTTAATTGCGAAAAGAAAGTCGGTTAAAAGTTCACATGGTCAGTTTAGCGTTTCTTGAAATTACGCAAGAACGTTCGGACGATTTCATATGGCTTTCTGAAACCTACAAAGGAATATCGGCGTGAGAGCAGGAAACGTGTATCAAGTGCAAAGAATGTGAAAAACGAAAAGATAACACAGAGTATTCGTCGATCGATGCACACTGGAGAAAATTTGATTTGTTTTAATTTCAGAGCGGCGCGAGGAAGGAAGTGACTGCGGTAGCGAAGTGAAGCAAGAACCGGATACGGAGCAGGAGGTGGATCAGGAACCGGAAACAGAGGCGGAAGAGATCCTGTGTCCATATTGCACGTATCAGCCGAACTCTCGTGAGGAGTTACGTCAGCATCTCCAGGTGGCTCACGTGCAGGAGGCCGATGATAATAAAAGCGAAAGTGTCAAGGAGGAACCCACCCCGGAACTTTTGTGTCCATTGTGTCAGGACAGTTTCAAGGAACGTTCGGCGCTCGAGAAACACGTGATGCAAATACACTCGGTCAACGCAGATGGACTTCAGAGATTGCTGTTGCTGGTCGATCAGAGTCACTGGTTGAACAACAATCCAAGAAACACTTCGACGCCGGCAGCAACACCGACTTCGCCTGGTACAACGAGCAAGCAGCAACTTCAGCAACAGCACCAACAACAGGACGAGGATTTGAACGAGCGTCCCGGCAACGAAGACATCGAGGAAATCGCTAGGTGCACTGTGTGCGGGAGAGTGTGTCGCTCCTTGGAGGAGCTTCAGCAACATCACAGGGAGGCTCATCCAGCAACGACACCAACGTTGGCAGTCAGCGAGAAGCACGTCTACAAGTATCGGTGCGGCCAGTGCAGTTTGGCCTTCAAAACCCTCGAGAAACTCCAGCAACACTCTCAGTACCATGCGATCCGCGACGCCACCAAGTGCGCCCTCTGCGGAAGATCCTTTCGTTCGGTTCAGGCGCTGCAACGGCATCTCGAGTCGGCCCACGCTGATCTTCACGAAGACGAGCTAGCCCAATACAAGCAGAGCCTTCTTCACGCGCATCCGCTTCTCCAGGCACTGACGGAAGAGGCGCTGAGACGTCAGGGTGGACTCACCGCCGAACAGACCGTCGAGGACGAGGCGACGCGCGACGAAGAGGAAAGCGACGCCAGCGATTCCTTCCCACTGCACAAGGAGCAGCGTCTCCTCGAAGACTATCTGAACAGCCAACCGGTGGCCGAGGATTCCTATCCCGATCCAGCCCGTAAGTTCAAGTGTCACAGGTGCAAGGTCGCCTTCACTAGGCAAAGTTATCTCACCGGACACAATAAGACATTACTGCATCGTAAAGGCGAGAAGATGTCCTATCCCGTGGAGAAATATCTGGACCCTAACAGGCCGTACAAGTGCGACGTCTGCAAGGAGAGCTTCACGCAGAAGAACATTCTCCTAGTGCATTACAACAGCGTCAGTCACTTGCATAAATTGAAGAGGGCGATGCAAGATCCGGGAAATAATAACACATTGATATCAGTCGTGCCACCAGCGAGTCCTACCGAGTCGCCCGATTCTCAGCAGGATCAGGATAAGAAACCATACAAATGTAATATCTGTAAGGTTGCCTACTCGCAGGGTAGTACTCTGGATATTCATATGAGAAGTGTGCTGCATCAGACAAGAGCAAGCAAGTTGCCTGATCTCGCTGCCAGTGGACAGTTGGATCTTGCCAGGCCATTGATCGAACAGCCACCTCCTACCAGTCCTAGCAGTCCACCCTGCAATACTAATTCTAATGCAGGAAACAGCAATATGCTCTCGTGTCCAAGGTGCAGCGCGCTCTTCGTCAATCAGGAACAGTTAGCCACGCATCAGCAGCTTTATTGCATCTTCAGCAACCCCCTAGCGCTCTTCCAGCAGCTTGCTGCTTCTCAGCAGATAGCGAATGCCACTCCTGCTAAGACGCCACCACCGGCGTCGACTACTCCTGGACCGCAGCTTGCACAGCAAAGTCAAAGTCAACAGACGTCCCAGACTACGCAAGACATTTTGTCACAGCCCAGACACAAAACCTCGCAGATGTACAAGCATCTACTTGAGAGCTTTGGCTTTGATCTTGTGATGCAATTCAATGAGAATCATCAAAGAAGGCAGAGGAAGGAGGAGGAAGCAGCAGCTGCGTTGCAGGCACAACAGGAACAACAAAAGCAAGAGCAACAGAAGCAGGCCTTGGCGGCTCAGGCTGCTCAGGAACGCGAGGAGGAGGTCGAGGAGCATGTCGATGACGATGTAATTCCTGAATTGACCAGGAGTACGTGTCAGCATTGCAGTAAGGAATTTAGCAGTGTTTGGGTCCTTAAGGCCCACTGCGAGGAAGTGCACCGTGACCTAGTGCCAAGAGAATTCCTGGAAAAATACGCTCAGCAATTCAAATGTGAATACGAGAAGAAGAGTGTCGTTGTTACAGCAGCAACGTCGTCCTCGACAACAACAGCACCCAGAAGTTCGACGCCGGCATTAAGCCAACCTCAGGATCTCAGTCCTGATAAGGATACGCGGGAAAAGGATAAGGATGACGTTGTTGAGACCAAGGAACGTGCCACCAGGACTCCCGAAGCAACATCCACGACGCCAGCAACAACTCCTGCTTTGAGTAACACCCCAGTTTCGAGTACGGACTCGACTACTCCCACAGTACCTACCAATAATGCTCAGCACCACATGCAGCAACAACAACAGCACCAACAGCAGCAACAGCAACAGCAACAACAGCAGCAGCAGCAGCACGCTCAAATGACTCTGGCCCAACAGATGTCTGAAATGCAAGCTGCTTTGAATGCTATGGCCGCCTCACAACTGCAGCAACAACTGCAACAGTATCCTGGACTAATGATGGGCATGATGGGACTTCCTCTGGGACTTAATGTTCCGGCTTTGGCAGCGATGAACCTTCAGCCTCCGTTGGTTCCCATGATGCTACCCCCTCCCCCGTACGATGGAGCCACTGGCGCTTATCCGCCTATCAATGCTCAGGCCGACATCCTAGCTAAACAACATATCGCGCTTCAACAACAGCAAGCTGCTGCGGTAAGTACATCAGGCTGTTTCTCGTACTTTCTCTCCTTTCTCATGTCGTTCATTCAACTATCTTCGTATTAACTATCTTCAATTATACAATCCAGTTAACTCGTATAGATTAGGTGTGAAAATGTGCGCGAAAATTTCTGTTCAACAGGCAAACGCGGCGGCGTCGCAGAAACGAGCGCGTACGCGCATTACGGATGAGCAGCTAAAGATTCTACGGGCCCATTTCGACATTAACAACTCCCCTGGGGAAGAACAGATTCTGGACATGGCAGCGCAAAGTGGCCTACCCCCGAAAGTCATTAAGCACTGGTTCCGCAACACGCTATTCAAAGAGCGCCAAAGGAACAAGGACAGTCCATACAATTTCAACAACCCACCTAGTACAACCCTCAATCTGGAAGAATATGAGAAAACCGGTGAGGCCAAAGTAACTCCGCTGAACTCGAGTGTGTCCGGAAGTAGTTCCTCCGATGACAAGAGTCCCAATAAGCAAGCCTCCCCACCTCCATCCTCATTAAATAACGTTACCACCTCTCAAACAACCGAAATCAAACAAGAAATCCCAGAGCCGTCCCAGTGTCAACAGCAGCAGCATCCGGAAGAGCAGCAGCATCACAGCCCGGGTAGTTGCGGTGATCAACAGTCGAGGCCGCACTCACCGGCCCTCAGTATGAATTCGGTCTTTTCGGGATTACATCACGACATAGCGCACACTCCTACTCCCACAAGCGCTCCCAGTACACCTATGCTACCGCCAAAATTAGCACCACAAAATTTTACCAGCTCTACGCCTGGCGTTAGTGCTGTAGTTCCTGGAGCGATTGCTGCCATGGCGCTCACGCCTCAAAGATCGCTGAGCCCAGGACGCAGTCCGGCGGATTATTCTTTCGGCGGGAACAGCAACGGAAGCAATTCCTCTGGCGGAAGTTCAGGCAAGAGGGCTAATCGGACGAGGTTCACCGATTATCAGATAAAGGTACTACAGGAATTCTTTGAGAACAACGCATACCCAAAGGACGACGATTTGGAGTATCTGAGTAAACTATTGGGCCTCAGTCCTAGGGTCATCGTGGTCTGGTTTCAGAATGCCAGACAGAAGGCTCGTAAGGTGTACGAGAATCAACCTGCTGCTGAGCCTGTGAATCCTGGTGGTCGTGAGGGCGACGACGGTTCAGGAAGGTTCCAAAGGACTCCAGGATTGAATTATCAATGCAAAAAGTGTCTTCTGGTATTCCAACGTTACTACGAACTGATACGTCATCAGAAGACACACTGTTTTAAGGAGGAAGACGCAAAGAGAAGTGCACAGGCACAGGCGGCAGCCGCACAGGTTGCTGCAGTACTGAGTTCAGAGGACAGCAACAGCAGCTCGACAACAACAACTAATGCAGTTGTCAGCAATGCCCCGAATGCTCCAGCCCTTGCCGAACAGCTACAACAACCCCTGAGCACAGCAACGCCGCCGCATCATCAGCAGGGTATCAACCAGCAACACCAATCAACTCAACAACAGTCCCAGCAGCAAGCTCAAACCGAAACGAAGGAAGGCAGTTTCCAATGTGACAAGTGTAATCTGATGTTCGGAAGGTTCGAACTCTGGCGTGAACATCAACTAGTACATATCATGAACCCCTCTCTATTTCCACCCGCCTATCCTCCTGACTCGCCCTTCGGAATTCTTCAGCAACAAGCGCTGAACGCCACGACGGGAGTAACTTCCGACAATCCGCATCCGTTGATCGCCATGATGCAGGATCGTAAACGGAAGTACGAAGACTTTGAGGAGGGAACCGGAAGTGACGGCAGAGCCAATAGCGAACATTCGGAACAGCCGAAAGACAAGAGGCTAAGGACTACCATTTTACCTGAACAGTTGGACTACCTTTATCAAAAATATCAGATAGAGTCGAATCCATCGAGGAAGATGCTGGAGACGATAGCACGGGAAGTTGGCCTGAAGAAACGCGTTGTCCAGGTCTGGTTTCAAAATACGAGGGCAAGAGAGAGGAAGGGTCAGTTCAGGGCCCACAGTCAGGTTATAAACAAGCGATGTCCCTTCTGTCCGGCTTTGTTCAAGGTGAAGTCTGCCCTAGAGTCTCACCTGAGTAGCAAACATGCCGACCAGGTCGCACGCGGGGAAGTGAATATCGACAATATACCGGATGAGGAATTGTCAATGGAGTCTGCACCGTCAAATCCAAGTACGCCCAACATGATGCCACCGCTGTTTCCGCCGTTCAACACCGAAATGGAGGCTTCCTTGAAGAAGTACTACGAGGAGTCCATGAAGCGTTACATAAGTGAACTGCAAGCACACACGAGTAACGGAAAACAAGAAATTACCACCGGATCGGCGTCTTCCGGTCACACCGGTGAATCTCCTTTGGATCTGAGTAAACCCGTGGACCTCAGTAGACCCGTTAAACTGAGCCTGGGGGGTCTCGGGAACCTCCTGGAGGAGCAGCACTCGGCGCATCTTCGAGGAGGCAGCGACTGCGGCCCGTTGACGGATCTCTCGGAACGCAGCGTCTGCGACGAGGACAGTATGAGCGAGACCACGGAGTTCCTAGACGACGAGAGTGGTCCTGCGAGTCCAGCATCGAGTACCCAAAGTTCGAGGCAAGGGCCAGGTCGTGATAACAGCATCGGTGGCGGTGTCAGCGAGTCGCGACTTCCTGGAGGTGGTAGCGGAAGTGGAAGTGGTCCCCTATCGAGCGGCGCAGGTCAAACCGGTGGGAAGCGTTACCGCACCCAGATGTCTGCTACCCAGGTCAAGGTGATGAAGTCCCTCTTCTCGGACTACAAGACCCCGACGATGGCCGAGTGCGAGATGCTCGGCCGGGAGATAGGTCTACCGAAGCGCGTCGTGCAGGTGAGCAACGTGCAGAACACTCGAGCAGAGTCGCATTCTACCTCGTGATCCCCGAGGATAGAAAGAGATTAGAGAAATCAGTCTAGAGCTCGGCCAGGAAGATTAGGAAAAATTAAAAAAAGAGAAGGCTAGAGGAGAGTTAACAAAGCCGCCTTATAGGTCTGGTTCCAGAATGCACGTGCCAAGGAGAAGAAGGCCAGGTTGGCGGCGGGCCTACCCGCTGAGGGTTCGGCTGTACAGGCACACAGGGGCCCAACGGGCCCCGACGAGTGCCGGCTCTGCTCGGTCCGATACTCGCCGAAATCTCCGCTCCAGGAACACGTCTTCTCGAGACGGCACATCGAGGCCGTCCGCGTCGCCGTCGAGGAAGGCACCCTGGTCCCGCCAACCCCCGGAGCACCCATTCTACCCGGTGGCTCCGGGACGGGCGCCACTTCCGCTACGTCTAATCAGCAACCACCCGGACAGCAGCAGCAGCAGCAGCTACAGCAGGACGAGAATATGATGTACGGATCGTTGTTCCTTCATCCTACGGCCATGTTCCAGACTCAGCAACAGCAACATGCCGGTGCATCTGCGGCCAGCTCCGCAACCACCACGGCCGGTGAGTGTCTGGCTGACCTCCTAGACTCATAAGCGATCGTAATGGTTCCGTGCCTCCTCCTTGCCTTCGGTATCGTTATTTAATCTTTCTCTTCTTCATCTTCTTCCTATTTTTTATTGTCGTTTTAATCTACGGGACAACCGGGACAGTGTTTGGCCGATCAGACGGATTAGAAATATATGTACTGGAGGAACTCGAGTGTGTTTCAGGGATATGAGGAGGGAGGAGTGTGGCACGAGCCAATATCTCGTCTCGTGGTTCACGTTTATACATACCTTACATAGTTGGGCCCGTGTGATAATCTAGGGGGCCCGATTTTATCTCGTGTTTATAAATATAGATATCTAAAATACTTTTTATATAGTACGAATAATATATCCAGAGCTAGGCAATACTGAAAGTTCCTATCAGATGACTATTCTAGGCGTAAGTGATTGAGAGCGAGAGAGAGAAAGAGAGAGAGAGAGAGAGATTTTCTTCTTCTTTTTTTTTATTACTGTGAAGAAACGAGGAAATTAGTTAACAGGGTGTGAAAATTACAAAGGAGGAGATTACGAGGAAAAATTTAGGAGAGAGCGTTAGTCTAATTTGTTTTATTTCCTTTATTATTATCATTTATCGTTTCCTTACATATCTCAATGTCTCCTAATTTCCTTTTCTCTTTTTCTCCCGCTCTTCGTTTCTCTGTCCTTAATTTCTCCTTTCTCCCTAATTATGCAGAATATCTCCCCCGATATTCTTCTTCTCCTATTATTCTTCGATTTCTGCCCTCTTAATTTTGTCTCCCCCCCCCCCCCCC